TGCATTTAAACATGAAGGAATCACTAAGATAAGCAAATGCTTCTTTTGGAAGAAAGCTGGCTGTGGGAGTCCAGCTCCGACCTGTCGAAGGGTTCTTGAGGGGAGGAGAGATGAATGAGGAAGTATTAGAAATAGAGATGGAGACAGACAGAAAGACAGAGACACAGGATAGCTTCGGGGGTCCCTGAGTCAATACCCAGCTGTCTCGATATTTATTCTAATGGGCTTTTTATACACTTCCAAGGGGAGCAGCAAAAGACCTCACCCTTTCAAGATCAAAGCACACTGTCCCTCTCTGTCCCTGGTCTATGAGCAGGTTTCTGGGAATCTGGTAACTGTGGTGTGATGCCTTGCACAGCCTTGGTGCAGTGGGAAGGGGCTTGGACCTGCCTAGGCTCTGTGTGCTGAGCTCTGCTGATTCCAAATGGGAGACCTTGATTTGGGGGATGTGGGGATGTGGGGTGGCTTGGGAGAGAGGACTGGGGGATAGGAAGAGGGAGGAGGGGGGGTCTGTGGATGGTATATGGAGTGAGTAGAAAATTTCTTAATAAAGAAAAATGAAAAAAAAAAAACGATCAAAGCACAGAGCACAGAGTACAGCCAAGTGTAGACCTTTCAAAATACCTGGTAGCCACACCTTTGGCCAAATCATCGCATTATGCAGCCCTTCTGAGTAAAGCAAGCTCAGATTCTCTGACCTTAAGTAAGGTCTTATTAGGGAGCCTCTATGGGCTTCCTCAGCTGGCTAAGGTCTATTTACCTTACAGAATTAGAAATTAAGACTCAGAATCATAGAAGAGGAACTCAAATATTCATGGAAAACCACAGAGACAATGTTGCCCCACTCTATTCATCAGGCTCTACATTTGTTACCCCCTTTTCTGCTTATTTTGACAGAAAAATTAAGACATTAAGACACACTTCATTTGTTGACATGGCATTCAATCTTCCATTTATCATATATTTACTCTTCTACTTAATCAGTGGCAATAAGGAATATTTTCTAATTCACTTGAATAGTGTATTTTCAGGAAATCGGAAGGAGATCTGCCTGAAACACAGAGCTAAATGATTGATATTAAGGCTTGAGGTCAGAGATACAGGCAGGAGCCAGCCTAAAGTACACATCAGTATAGAGTATAGCAGAGGTTTTCATATAAATATGACACCTTTTATTTAAAATTTTTGACATTATAATTATATAATTTCCTCCAACCCCTTTTTCTCTGTCAATTTCATCTCTTTTTTTCTTCGTTTTTTCCATATAAATATACACACATATGTGGATATATATGTACATATATATATATGTACATATATATCCCTAAATATATAAATACAACATGCTCAGTCTGTGTAATATTATGTATAATTATAATATTATGTATATGTTTTCAGGGCTGACCACTTGGTATTGCCATACTCTTCTATGGGTTTTAAATAAAGAAGTAGTATATAGTAAACTATATTTAGCAATCAATCCTTTTAAATTTGAACCTTCTGTTCAGGTTAAATTACTTTACCAGCTCTACCAAAACATAAACGTTTCCCTAGCTCTTTACTTCTTTCAGTTTGAAAACCTTGTCTTTTGTAATTGCTACATTGAAGAGAGTTTGACACAAACCTTTCTCCATACTTCAGTGATAAAGTTTGACTCAAAGTAGTTTTCTTCTGCATTGAACTGAATATTACCTTAATATGTAAACAAATCAGAACCTTAGCATACCTTTGTAACCAAGCAACCATATCTCAGCAATCATAGCAGGCAAAGTTCAGCCAATTAAAAGCAACCAGATGATTAACCTATGATTATGTACTACACAAGCCAACCACAGCCTACACGCTTCTTTATGCCATTTCCTTCCCTCTGGCTATAAATATAACTTGTTCATGGTAAGGCTAGGTATTCTGAAGCATCTTTTATCTGCAATGCTGCCCCCTTCTAGAAACTTTCATATTGCTGAGGTGAACTTCAATCAAACTGGTGTCAGCCTTTCTTTAATATAATAGCTAGCTATTTAATTATACAAAATCAATAATTTAAAATAATATTTGAAAACCAGAAAAATGTATTTGGAAGTACATTGAAATCAGAAAGTGTTAAATCAGCACAGACTTCTAGCTGTCCTGTGTAGTTGTGAATATGCTGAATACATCTTACATAGCTGACTCTAGATGCTGTTGAATTGTGCCTATCTCTTCATGCTGGCTATAGAACCACAATCTTTTATCATCCATGTACTGCCACCCTTTTGTATATTTTCTTGGGGTCACAGTATTGCCTGTAGTTTCCCAAGTCCTCCTTCGTGTTTCTTATCACTCAAGATAGTCCGCTTAAAAAAGTTATTGAAGAATTTTTCTATGCCAGACACTGTGAAGGAATATCAAGAAGAAATAGAGGAAAGAAACAAAACATCACAAAATACGGTTGGAAAAGGAATAAATAAGCAAGAAGAAAATAAAGAAACTGAACATAATATTTACCGTGAAGCTACCATCGCCAGCCATTTGATAAGCAAACATGCCTGTATTCAACACCAAGCATGTGTAGCCGCTTTTGATGGCGAACATTCCCATATGATTTCTAGGCTCCAAGCCATGTGCTCAGCACCGTGCATATATTACCATATGCAATCCTTATGGCAGCTTTACAAAGCAAATGGATGGTTGCTATCATTGTCCCGTGTTTATATATATATATATATATATATATATATATATATATATATATATATATATGGAATCTGGCTCCAAATGTTGGACACCTTACCCAAATCTTCTCAAACCTAAATGAGAGTAAGACTCATCTGGAGAACTTGGTAAAAATTCTGTCACATTTTGACATCCTTGATGGGTAATTTGGAGGGCTTGGGAGGACCACCTTTAAGCTACTATCACCGTTATGTATAAATCATCACCACCCCACAAATTTATGATTCTGATACAGATAGTTCTTCAGTTCCTTGTTAAACTTTGTGATATGGTACACTGTGCTCCTTGGAATACCCCTCCATGCTCATGAAATTTCATGAGTGCATATGCACTTGAAGACACTGATGAAATTAAGAATAAACAGATTCTAATTCAGCAGGTCTGAGTTGAACCCATAGCTTGCTCATTTCTACTAAACTCAGAAATGTTGCTGAGATGATATGAATCATCATTTAAGTGGCTAGGACCTGTTATGCTACCAAAATTCTTTCCCATAAATAGTTTACCACAGGAGGAAGAGATTGAGATATATACCAGTCACCATAATATTCATAGTAAAGCCTTACTGTGGAGATTGTCTCATTATGAATGTTGCCAGTACTATCAAGATCAAAGGGACACGGAAATAAATTAATGTTCCCTGAATATGTCAACAGAGCACAATTATGTTAGATATTAGGTGGTCTAGAGATAAAAAGACGTGGTCATCCCTATATGCAAACAGTTTTGGAACAGAGGCGCATACTAGCAACCTGGGAGCAGGTTCCAAGATTTGTTCTTAGTCTACATTCAAGTTTTTGTGTGTGTGTGAAAAAAATGATTATTTAGAATTAGCCAGCTGGACTCAATTTAAATGATCCTAAGTTTTTGGCAACATCTGAGGCATTGTAATCAGGAGCCAGTCAAACATGTGCCTCTTTTTCTCCATCATGCCTGGTCAGGGAGGCTTGCTTGCTTCTTCTAGGAATCACCTTATGAGAGTATTCACTTTTGAACCAGCAGCTTCTTGATGGACAGGAGGTGGGGAATGGGCAGATCTTTTGCATCTTGTACCTTTCAGCACTGCCCTTTTGGCTTTCAAAGCCTTCACTTCAACTCGGTCTTCGAAGAGGCAAGGACTTCCTTCTTCACCTTTGGTGCTATCTCCACGTACAACTTGTCTGCATAAAGCCCTTTCACTGTAAATTATGAAACCATGCTATACCATATCATACGAGCTTACTTCCTTGGCTAGTTGGTTGGGATCAATTTCGCAATTAAACCATTGGCTGGCAGACAAGTATTTTTCTTAAAAGCATAGGGTCTGTGTGTCATAGATACAGAGCACTAATAAATAATTTTACTAGTGAATGCTAGAATAAATAATTGTATTCATTAATGTTGTTATACAAGAGTTGTGGCTGTTGTTTCCATGGTTACAATGTCTTCTTTTCCTCGAAGGTCATGATGATTAAACATAAAGGTTCATGAGGCCAATTTTTGGGGTTAAAGTTTGAGTTTCTTCACTCCTTAGTGCCTCAACCTCTCCATACTAAATTTGGTCTCTGGGAATGATGCTATTACTATTTATAATATGATAAGAAGATTAAATGGTATAGAACACACAAATCTACTATGGTACTAAATGTTTTCTATCTCCTGTATCCACATCTGTGTCCAATCCTAGCCACTTAACTATGAACTTAACCCAACAGCATGCTTCTAGGTCAACAAAAATATTGACACATCCTTGGTTAGGTTGTGAAACATTGCAACTTCTCTCCTGCAGCAATGTGTTGTGTTAAAGAACCTGGTGGGGTAAGGTGTTGAGAGTAAGCCTGGGCAACAGCCAACAAGGTCCTCCAACCAAGAGAACTCAGATTTTAATAGTGAACGTGCAAATGAATCATTTTTCATCCCATCCTTGAGACTATGGTCTTGAGCTGAGATCAATCTTAGCTCTCTGTGAAACCATGAAGTGGAAGATACAACTAAGCTATGTGTCTAGGTTTCTTAAATACAGAGACGGTGATTTAATAAATATGGGTGCTTTAAGATGCAAAGTTTGGCTCTAATTTGTTAGTAATCAACAGATAACAAGACACATTGTTTTTTGTTCTGTTCCTTAAAAACAAAAGAACTGCAACTGATGGATGCAGATGCAAAGAATACACTGTTGTCTGAGAAAAAATAAGTGAGTTTTTTTTCCATAAAGAAGATCCTTTTATTGAGAAAAAAAAATTAGCCATTTTAGGTAAAGGAAATAATGATAAAAACTACAAAAGTTTTCATTTATTTTTTTCATTAAGTGATTATTCAGGAAATGACATCCATCCTTCAATGGCAAGAATGTGGGGAAGAAGATTAGAAACTACAATGGAAGATCTGTTCGACGGAGGAGCTACACAGCTGTGAGTCAGGCTATGGAGACTGTACATTGTCATGACTATGAGACACCAAACTAAATAGATGTTACTAAGAGAAAAGATTGAAGGGGAGATTGAGAGACAATAATTCTATGGTAGAATTGGAAGGGTTTTCTTTCTTTTCTATTTTTTCCCTCTTTTATTTATTTATTTTTTTACACACTGCATAAGCAATGGAATAGGAGAATTTAATTATAACTAGGAATGTCTAGTTTGTTTCCTGGATATGCAAATTGAAATCAGTCCTAGAAGTATGACAGAACACCGACTCTGAATCCAGCTAAGTAGTCCTATACAGAAAGCATGTCAATGCACGTTTTGTAACAGCCAACACATCGGAAACTGTGTGAAGTCATTACAGTGAACTAAATGCTATAAATATGGGATGAATAATGAAATGGAAACTTGAAAGATGATAATTTTTGAAACATCATGCATACAACTCACCAGTTTGGGGGAAATATATGTGTATATACATATATGCATGTAGCAACAATTTAGAAAGGGAAGCTGTGAACTTGAGAGGGAGCAAGGCGTTTTTGGAGGGGTTTTGAAAAGCAGAAATGAGGGGGAAAATTATGAAATTATGTTATTATCTTGAAAAATAAAAGAAAATGGGGAAAGAGTGAGAGGATAAATGAGACTGAAAGGACTGAGGTTGAGATTCACACACACAATCAATAGTTGTTGTGTTTTTCTTACTCTAAAAGAAATCATGTTTTTAGAAATCAGTTGTCCCTGTGTGAGCATAATTTTTCAGGGCACTATATTGACTGGAAAAAATACATTTGAGTTGTCACTCTTAAAATATATTCTTAAATTTTAAAGGATTTCATTTGACATGTACAAGTTTCTTAAGGAATCCTATAGATCTGTACATGGTAAAAGAATAAACATTAACGTGTTCATTGGATTCTATACCACAGGCAGAACTACTGAACACTGAGAGAAATTTAAATGAAGACATCAATTCAGATTTCTGTACTTTAAGAATGAACAAGGGCTGTGACAGACACCACGTTACTTTATCTTTTCCAAAAGTCTGAACATAAGGCAGAGGAAAGCTACTTTATGAACAAATGTAAGAAGGGGTAGTTTTACGTTATTAAAATTAATTATGTGCAATTTTGTGTTATAAGACAGTCAATTACGGCTCACATCTGAGGAGAAGGAATCAATACAGAGAAAATGGAAAATATTACAGAAAGGAAGGAATCAATAATGATGCAAAGCCACAGAAGAGATGGTATGGAAGGAAAGATCATTTTTTAGACAGAAATAATAGAAGTCAAAATTGGTAAAGGTGTACTTTGGTGTGGTGGAGTCAGAGAGAAATGGGAACCAGTCCATTTTGTTTCAATCAAGACAAGAAGGTCATCCTTTAAGAGTAAAGAGTCAAGGATGAACTGAAACCCTTAAAGAAAACTGAAATGTTTTTTTTTTCTGTCCAGAGCAGAAAAGGAAATGGCATGGGATAAAGCTGTCAAACAAAAGTTTGTGATAGCAAATAAAGGAGGAGATTTCTCTATGAGGGTTAAATGCAAAAGTTTAACTGAAACTTGTTGGTTGAAGTTGAATACATGTAAAATGGCAGAAATATGAGAATGTCAACAAGTCTTAAAAGTAACATTTGCTTTTTTTCTCTCAAGGCCTTGAAATGCAAAGTATGTAGATCATTGATGAAATGATGGCTTTAATGGTTAAAAAAAAGAATTTTTTTTTATATCAGGTGATTCTTGATTTATTTCTTTCAGTTAATGAAATGTCCTGATCAATATTAAATTATTTTTTATTTATTTTTTTTCCATTTTACTTATCAACCATAGTTTCCCCTCCCTCTGCTTCTCCTGCTCCCTCTCCACCACCACCCCAACCCTACCCCACCATCCACTCCTCAGAGAGAGTAAGGCCTCCCTTAGGGAGTCAACAAAGGCTGTCATACCAAGTTGGGGCAGGACCAAGCCCTTCCCCCCTGCATCAAGGCTGATCAAGGTATCTCACCATAGGGAATGGGCTCCAAAAAGCCAGTTCATGCACTAAGGATAAACCCTGGTCTCACTGTCAGGGGCCCCACAAACAGATCAAGCCACACAAATGTCACTCATATTCAGAGGGCCTAGTTTGGTCCCATGCAGGTTCCCTCCAGAGTCCCTGAGCTCCCACTAGCTTGGGTGTGTTGCCCCTGTGGTTTTCTCCATCTATTGATCTTGACACACACACACACACACACACACACACACACACACACACACACCCTTGCTCACATAATCCCTCCTCTCTCCCTTTAACTGGACGCCAGGAGCTCAGCCCAGTGCTTGGCTGTGGATCTCTGCATCTGCTTCCATTAGTTACTGGATGAAGGCTCTATGATGACAGTTAGGGTAGTCAACAATCTGACCAGGATAGGCCAGTTCAGGCATCCTCAACACTATTGCTAGGAGTCTTAACTGGGATCATTCTTGTGGACTCCTGGGATTTTTCTTGGCACCAGGTTTCTCCTTAACCCCATCATGGTTCCGTCTATCAAGATATCTCTTTCCTTGTTCTCCCTCTCTGTCCCTCCCCCAGCTCGGGCATCCTGATCTCTTATTTCCCATCCCTCATCCTCTCCCCTTTCTCTCCCCCTCCCAGTTTACCCAGGAGATTTTATCTATTCCCCTTGCTAAGGCAATGCATTAGTGTATTTCTTAGAGTCCTCCTTGTTACCTAGCTTCTCTGGGGTTGTGGATTGTAGCCTGGTCATCCTTTGCTTTATATCTACTATCCACTTATGAGTGAGTGTATACCATTTTATCTTTCTGAGTCTGAGTTACCTCATTCAGAATGATTTTTTTCCTATTTCCATCCATTTGCCTGCAAATTTCATGATGTCATTGTTTTTTACCAGTGAGTAATATTCCATTGTGTATATGTACCACATTTTCTTTATCCATTCTTTGGCTGAGGGGCTTCTAGGTTGTTTCCATTTTCTGGCTATGACAAATAATGCTGCTATGAACATAGTTGAGAAAGTGTCCTTGTGGAATGATTGAGCATCCTTTGAATATATGCCTGAGAGTTGTATTGCTAGATCTTAAGATAGATTGATTCCTGGTTTTCTGAGACACCGCCATAATTTCCAGAGTGGCTGTACAAGTTCACACTCCCACCAGCAATGGAGGGGTGTTCCTTTTACTCCACATCTTCTCCAACATAAACTGTCATCAGTGTTTTTGATCTTGGCCATTCTGATGGGTGTAAGATCATATCTCAGAGTCATTTTGATTTGCATTTCCCCGATGGCTAAGGATGTTGAGCAATTCTTTAAATGTCTTTCTTTGGCCATTTGAGATTGTTCTGTTCAGAATTCTCTGCTTAAATCTGTAGCTCATTTTTTAATTGGATTATTTGGTACTTTGATGTCTAGTTTCTTGAGTTCTTTATATATTTTGGAGATCATCCCTCTGTCAGATGTGGGGTTGGTGAAGATCTTTTCCCATTCTGTAGGCTGCCATTTTGTCTTCTTGACCATGCCCTTTGCTTTTTAGAATCTTCTCAGTTTCAGGAGGTCCCTTTTATTAATTGTTGCCTTCAGTGTCTGTGCTACTGGTATTTTTAGGAAGTGGTTTCCTTTGCCAATGCATTCATCTTACTTCTATCTTGTTGTGGTGGTCTGAATGAGAATGGCTCCCATAGGCTCATGTATTTGCATGTTTATCCCCAGTTGGTCAACTGTTTAGGAAGGATTAGGAGGTGTGGCCTTGTTGGAAGAGATGTGTCACTGGGGCCGGGTTTTGAGGTTTCAAAAGCCCACATCAGGCACAGTTCTTCACTCTCTGCCCTGTCTGAGGATCTGGATGTAAAGTTCTCAGCTACTTCCCAGCACTATGCCTGTCTGCTTGAGTACCATATGATCCCCACTAGATTGATAAAGGACTGTCTGAAGTTATAAGCCAACCTCCAATTAAATGTTTTCTTCTACATGTTGCCTTCATCATGGTGTGTCTTCACAGCAATAGAGTAATACCTAAGACAATGGTAAAATTTATAATCAGAGACTCATTAATTTTCGAGAAATATTACAATTAAAAAAATATGTGGGAAAATACATTTATCTTCAAAGAGATATATTGTCTCTTTGAATCCCTTTGTATTATCAGCAGGCACATAGCAGGATCTTTCTAAATCTATTTTTACAGTTAATTCTGTCATCTATGTTTTCATTCTGATAAATGGGGACCTAGAAGTAATAAACATGTATAGGCTGGAAAGGAAATAGTTGCCATTCTCTTGATTTAAAACAGCATACAGGTGTCTCTATTACAGCAGCTTCAGATTTGTGATCATGTAGTTACAGCATTAGAGCAAAGAACATTCATTTCTCACAACACTCAGAAATAACCTCAACAAAGCCAGACCATGGATGTAATTGCTAGGAAAACATCTAAATATTACTTCACTATACTAGAAGGAATGATGAATGTAAAAACCCTATTTACCATAATTACAAACCAGCCTCTATTCATTAAAACTGCTCCTTGTTTATATGTTTTCAGGAATGATCATTGACTATGGGATAACTAATTGGTGTACTCTTCCCTAGAGAAGACTATTTCTCCCAATCTCAACATTCCTCGGTTGCCTGTAGTTCTTTGTGTAGAATTGAGGCCTCATGGGCTTTCCTTGGCCCACTTTATTGTTGTCCTTGTTCAGCTCATATTTAGGTAGTCATGCTGGTGAGACGTTACGGGTGTAGTTTCTGATGGACTGAGTAGGTGGTATTTCTGGATTTAGGAATATGTGTGTATATTCCTAAATCCAGACGTATCAGCAAAACAACAATTAATGAAAAAAGAGGCTATGGCTTTGAAAGAGAGCAAGGAGCATATGGGAGGGTGTGAAGGGAAAATGATGTAATTATATTATAATCCAAAAAAATCAAAAATTATTTTTAAAAAATTGAGAAAGTCAAAGACAAACTAAATTAAAGACAAACTCATTTCTTGTTTTCTGGCCTTAGGGTCATTCTATTTCAGAGATTACCCCCCTTGGATTGATTCTGCAGGAATAATAAGCCAAATTCTGCCTGGACAATTCAGTTCTTTGAAAAGCTTCCACTTAGCCCATCTTCTAGCGGTACTCAACCTTCCTAGTGCTGCAACTCTTTAATCCAGTTCCTCGTGTTGCGGTGACCCCTAACCATAAAAGTATTCCATTGCTGCTTCATAACTGTCATTTTACTACTGTTACGAATTGTAAATATCTCATATACAAGATATCTCATGTGCAACCCCTGTGGAGGTCAGGACCCACAAGTTGAGAACCACTGCCTTGATCCAATCCAAACTTCAAACACCTTCTTGTTTGGTTTGTAGGGGTGAACAGTCCCTTGGCCTTGCCTTTATCTCCCATTTGGACTATCAGTTCATGTTCAGATTCGACCCCTTGATGTGATTTAGATCAGCTTTGTTATTATCTAGAGCTCTTCAATCGGTCTTCTGTGGTCTGTCCTGCCCTCACCACAGGCAGGACACAATGCTTCTGATGATCACTTGGATTCTGAGCTGCATGGGAGCAAACGCAGCAGCGAGTACGGTACAAGTGAGGGGCTCATTTAACCAATCCGTCTGCTTCAGACGAAGGACCAGGAACTTCAGTGTCCGCTTGACAGAGGGAAAATGGATGAAAGGAATTCCCAAGGGGCCACGTGTCAGAGTCCCTGCAAGATCAGAACACCTGGGGTGGAGAGATTGCTCAGTGGGCAAAGTGTTTGCCATTCAAGCATAAGGATCCGAGTTTGCATCCCCACAACCCACATAAAGCTTGGCCCAGTAGCACCTGTCTGCCATCCCAGATATAGGATGGCAGGACCAGAGACAGAGACGGGCGTGAACCTGGTGTGCACAGTTGTGAACAAGAGACTCTGTCTAAGTCAGATGGGAGGCAAAGGATATTACCTAATGTTACCTCTGACATCTCCATGCGTGCCTGAACTAATCTACATGAATGTAGACACACACACACACACACACACACACACACACTGTACACAAAGATAAATAAAATAGTAATGAGTTTTTTAGAGAGTTAGAGATGGGAGCAGCTTGACAGTCCCTTCCAGTTCCAAAGAACAGAAAAGCAACTTTGTAGTTCGTAAACCTTGACTGATTTTAGATATTCATGCCCGAAATTACCAGCTAAGGTCACCGTTGAATACTGTGAGCTTCTACAGGAAAAGTGTCTGGGTTAAATTTTTCCAAATAATGCAATTCAAAGTGGAATGTTGGCATCAACGATGCTTAAAAGTAAAGTCAGCCACGCGTCCGTGTCTCACCAACTGATAGATGCTTTTCTTCAAAACAAATAGATCTCTCCTCATGAGTCTGGCAGGAATTGCTTGGCTAGAAACCTGTACTTAAGAATGTAGTTAGTGAAAAAGCCAAGTAGTGTATCTTCCTTGAAGAATGTCATCTCCAGCTGGAGCCTGGAAATGAGGGTTCTTCATCTACAGTTCTTCCTAAAGAGCACAACAATCAGGCGAAATGTCATCCTCATTAATCATTCTCTCATATGCAGGACTCAATTGTAAAAATTGTATGAAGTCGAAATTTCCTGTGTAGGTGAGGGGGAACTGCAGTGTTCAGGCACCTCTCAGACCTGGATGATAATGACAGCAGGACTCTGTCCTCATGTGCCTCAGCAAGGTAGGATGTTGCAGCTTCCTCCATCCCTCCTCTTCCTTATACACACTATACAAAAGGATGAAAACAAGAAAAATTCAATGGCCTGTAAGAGGCTAGTTCAGAAAATAAAGAGCAATCCAGACATGTTCTGTCTTACCAAATGAGGTTTATTTTCCCATTTACCAGAAGCACCTCAGGTGCTATCTATGAATCTAAAATTCCTCATGAATTATAATTGTTATAATCCCCTCACTCTGAAATAGAAAAAGATTCTCATGGAACACAGAAGAATTATATACAGCTTAGGACTGGACATTCAATCCAGAGCCATGTTTTTAGGATTACAGGTTTTATTTAAAATGGTACAAGATCATTTTTTTAGGCAGAAACAGAACTATTATTCATAAATTAATAACAGACAATTTTGACTGAAAAGCAGGTAAATATTTTATTTGTAAAGGTGATTGTGCTCTGGAATGCCCAGATGACTGGTTGACACTATTTCTAGGTATGTCTGGATTCAGAATTGATTGCTATCTGAATAAGCAAATTAGAGACTACAGTCTGTCTGTGATTTTCTATGTACAAACCTGGAATTCAGAATTCATGCTGAAATTCTAATCTCAAAAGAAATGGAGTTTGGAGCTGCAGCCTTTGGGGAGATGACTAGGTTACATCGTGAGTGGGATGCTGCCCTCAAAGAATGAGCTCAAAGGAACTCAGTCAGTTTCCTCTTCCATCTGAGGTGAGAAGGTACCATGCAAGAGAGCAAGAAGTTCAACTTCACCAAACACCAAATCTATTTGTCGGGCTTCCTAGCTTCCAGGACTGTGAGAAAGGGGAGAGTCTATGACTATGTGAAGAATTTCTGTTGTTTTCTTCCTGATTTAAGGTACTGCAATAGAAGCCTGGACAGACTTAGCTGAGGAAAGAAGATTCACTCTTGCCAGCCTGAGTACATTGAATTTCAGAACAAATTCTGATATGGAACACAAGTGAGTTTCCCCTCTCAGCCTTCTCCTCCCGTTATTTTTTACCCACACTATACACACTTTGAGCTGGGAGATCTAGCATTTGCCCTTAAACATCAGAACTTGTAGCATTTTGCTTTCTGACTCTAGGACTAATCAAAGCAGCCCCCTCCTCTATCTATTCTCTGGCCTTTGAAATAAATGATACCATTACCTTTCCTACTTCCCCACTTTGCAGATAACAGATTGTGAGACTTCTCAGCTTCCATATTTTGGCAAGCCAATATCCATAATTGATCTCTCTGATACATACCTGTATACCCTGATGGATTTTGTTTTTCTGAGACCCATGACTGGTATAATAAGAACCAGCATTTATTCATTGCAAAGCAAATTTCAATCCACACAAGTAATGGAACGCCTTCAAAACTGAGCATAACTCTTTGTGATTTCAAGAACACACACCACTACAGTGACCACCACCATCTAAAACAGACCTTATAGCAGTGTAATCAAGGAAAATCAGTAAGAGATTCAATAAAATACATTTTCACTTTGCCAACTTTTTCCTTAAAATGCTAGATAGTATTTAAGCCTGAGGACAACATGCTTTCTCACTACTTAGAAATCAAGATGAATGCAGCCTGATAGACAGGCAAGCACATGGTATGATTATGTTCTAAACTTTAAGAAAAAAGGTGATAGGTCATATGTAGCCTAGGACCATGTCTTGCCAAGGCTTTATTTACACCAGGCCTTCAAAGCACACAAAATGTCCACCGTGCAGTATGTACTCCCAAAAAGACATCTGCACACACACAAACACATCTAGCCAAACAAGAAAGCATTGTTAAGTGCAGTGTTACTAAATAGAACATAACTTAAGAACTGAAAGTAACATCAGAAATACCTAAATACTAACTTGTGAACAAAGACATGGTGGACAGTGGTTACATACATGGGGGGGGGGGTTAGATTTTTTTTTTTTTATTTTATGAGTATGAGTGTTTTGCCTATGTGTACATATGTGTGATGTGTCTGTGCATGGTGCTTGCAGAAGAAGTCAGAAGAGAATTGGATCTCCTGGAACTGAAATTGAGGATGGTTGATAAATGCCATATGGGGTGCTGGGAACCAAACCCAGGTGCCTTTGCAAGAGCAACAGATGGTTATGACTGCTGTACTTCCTCTCTATCTCACATAATTTATCTTTTTGTTTTTTAAAAAAAAGGAGGAATTAAAATTTTTTAAGTAAACAATAAAACAGAAAACTCAAATAAATGCGTCCCTCTCTAGACGTATTTATTGAAACAAGAGACACTCTGATGGGATTTTATTATCACTTGCGGTATGACAGGAAGGAATGACTTCACATGCCTCTGTTAGTTTTATTCACCAACCACAATTTACCATCAACTGAATTACTTACAGATACAGCTTTTACAAGAAAAATTAGCTTGAGTTCATGTCAATTCGCTGTGAGTAAAATTGTCGGGCACTACAGACTGGTAAGCAAGTTCTTTATCTGAGACAGCAAAAGCAGGCTCAAATATGTATCTATTAAAATGTGCTCTTTGTTGAATGTCTTCTTTGATTTTCAGATACATTTTTCATTCTCTTGACTGTCTGTTTACAGTGTTGGTTACTTTGGTTACTGCTGCGACCCAAGCCTCACAAGAAGCAATGTAAGGATGTATGTGCTCTGCCTCCCAATTCAAGGGCACAATCATTCATGAAGGACAAAGCAAGGTACCAGGAGATACTCACATGGTGGAAGAAGGAACATGAGGATACTTATATCTCAGAAGATCAGGAAGCAGGCAGAGGACCACAAGTGCACACTCTAGCTTCGAGCCTCAAGATCTACTCCAAAGTAACCCACTTCTACCAGGTAGGTTCTACCTCCCTAAGATTTCCCAGCTTCCCAACGCCACACTGCAAGCTGGCAACAAGCACTTAAACACATGAGTCCATGGAAAAATTACCAGATCCTAAACCTACCATTCTGCCCTTGGTCCCTTAGGCTCGTTGTCATCTCATAATATAAAACTTAATCCAAGTTCAAACGTCCTCACAGGCTTACAGTTCCAACCCTCTTCAAAGTTCAAAGTCACTCCTGGGATCAAGACCATTTCTGAACATCTGTGAGCCCCCGGACCACGAAAAACAAGTTACCCGTGCAACATACAATGGCACACAGGATAAACAACTCTATTCCAAAAGGAAGACATGAGGACATAGTCAAGAAGAAAGCTCGTACCAAAGCAAGAAACACAGTAGAGGAAATGCCAAACCACGCAGCTCCACATCCTGCATCCGGGGCTTGTGATGGACCAAACCTCACAGGTCCATGTCCTGCATCCGGGGCTTGTGATGGAATCAGCTCTGCTCCAGTTGGCGAGTGTATACCTGCCCCTCCAGTTCCACCGAGTGTGTGGTCCCTCTCTTCGGCCAATCCCACTTGGTGCCTGCAGCTTTCCTTGGTGCGTGCCCAACATTTCTAGCTCTTCTGGTATCCTGGGGTCTCCGTTGCTGCTTGGGGATCCTTTGACGCTTCATGCAATGGCCTCTTGTTGCCTCTGCACAGAATCTAACTCTGCAAAACATTGGCCTGAACAGCTCTTCTGGCATTTTGGAGCAAGCCTCCATGGCACTGTGGCTTTGTTTTGTTTTTTGCATGCCTGCAAGTCTAGCGTCTTGTGGGCAATGCCAGGTTCTGCTGCCAGCTTCAGATGGAGGCAGCAATACCCTCTTCACAGCAGCTGGGATGGCCTCTGTGTATCACTGCCTCCGAGCAAGAGAAAACAATTGTCTTAATGGCCCTGCCTAAGCAGGATGCCCTGTGGCTCTCCGTGTTCACACACTCACTTTCCAAATAAAAGTTGTCCAATGAGGTTGCATTGATATGCCTGGAGTTCTCAGTGGAAGATGCCTTGCCTCTAAACACCTTCCATCTTGTGCCAGTGCGAAGTCCCTGTTTGCATATCAGTGATGCGATGCTAATCCTTTCCAATTGGTCTTGATCTTGACTACTCCTCAGAAGCTTTCCCACACCTTTTCTCACTAAATTTCACATTTCCCCCCATCTTTTTTCAAATTCCCACCATAAATCTCACTTAGCACAGTAAGCAATAACCATTTCACAACTCGCATGTCTTCAAATTCCCTTAGCCAGACAATTTAGTCCATGACTTTTTAATTCAGCCCCATGAAAATTATCGGGGCACAGAATGCATGCTGACATGAACGACCTGTAACCCAACTTAATACACAGTCATTGTTTCCCTCTTAAATCTCACCAACCAGGCCTCCTCTGTCCACATATTTCCCAACATTCTGGTCTTCAACGCTCTCACCGATATTACCCACTAAGCTCTATTTATATCGTTCTAGGGCTTTGCTAGCTCTCAAAGCTTCTCCATTCCTCCCCAAGCCACTCACAAAGTCCTAAGAACCACCTAGTTAGGTTTCTCAGAGCAGCGACAACTAAAATCACATCTTGTTAGCAGTTTTCTGAGTCAGCTACTTTTCTCAACATTGTGAACCAAGTGCCTGATAAGAATCAACTTCTGCCTTTCATCTCTGCCGCCAAAGCAGTTTCCTCATCACCTATCGCCAGGCCTTTCCACCCTTAGCTATGCAATGTGGGGGCCCCCAAAACAGCTTGACCACACAGCTGCCATGACAGGCTTAGAGGCCCAGACACAGCTTCTGGCAGGCAATACCTGGACCCAGCAAAAGCCATAAGCTGACTCCACCCAGTGGGGTCTGCATCTAAGAGGAAAAACCTGACATTCCAAACATTCTCTATACCCTTACACAAATGACAGACAACCAGAGTCCTGAACCTTGGAAATCCCCTCATTCCAACCTCTGCTATGATTAAAAAAAACAACAACAACAAAAAAAAAAAAAACACCGTGCCTGGGCTTGGGGCTCTCTGCTCTCACTGCTGCATCAGACAGAGCACCCAAGCTCCGAGCTTGAAAATAAAGGCTCTTTGCTTTTACAAATGAGATGTGGTCTCTGTGGCAGTCTTTTGGGGATCCCTGTGATCTGGGCATAACAGCAACATGTGCACCCCTTAAAAGTGCTCTCCAGGCACAGCTTACTCCCTTGCCTCGGTCCTCTCTTGCCTCTCTTCTTCTCTCGTTTCTTCCCTATCTCTCTGTCTGTCTGTCTGTCTGTCTGCCTGCCTTTCTCATGTACCCATGAGACATGGCCGTTCCCTCTTTCACTCTCCCCCTTCCCCAATAAACTTCCTGCACTACAAAAAAAAAATCAACTTAAGGGAGGTGGGATCTATCTGGGTTCATGGTTGTTTGAGAGTCCAGTCCATAATGGCATGGAAGGTGTATCATAATAAGAGGGTTGAGGCTGAGGAAGCAAGATTATGAGGCTGCTTAATTACATTTCAGATTGTGAAAGAGAAAGGACCAGAAGCAGGGCCATACTATAAACCTCAAGGCCTTCCATCCCTTCTCCCCTACTCAGGAAGCCATTTCCTCTAGCTACCATCCCACCTTCCAAATGTTGTGGTCTTCCAAAACAGCATCAGCACTTGGGACCAAACATATGACCCTGTAAGGAACATTTATACCTAAGCCCTAGAAGTTTCCCTGTTGGCTCTCTGAAGAGGGTCTACATATAAAGTAGACTATTACTCAGCTATTTATGCCTCAATGGGAAAGTTCATATTGAAGGAATTTTAATGGCACAGAATAAAGCTCTCTTGCCCCAGAATAAAGCTTCTCATTGCATTATAGTTATGCAGTGAGAAGATTGAGAGAAAGTCTAAGGAGTGGATGCTGAAGGTAAAATCAATCAAAGTTCATTGTGGTCAATAGTCAGTCAATCAACAGATAAATATCAAATGTTGGCCCCTCCTCTAAATATTGGCCATTCCTCTATACTTAAGTTTCTTCTTTAAAAGAGTCCTTCTTGGGATGCTCATAAGCCAATGAGACATAGAAGAGCTAATTAAATAACTAAATAAAAGAAAATAAGAAGCATAGAAATATGACTATATCAAGATATAGAATATATATAATTAGAATATGTGTAAACATTTACAAGCTTGTTTTTTTTTTCTTGAAAAAGAAGTAATTGAGGTAAAAGTCCCCTACAGTCCCATTGCCTCTTCGTGTTTGCATAAGCACTTGGCATTTTCTAAATCATTATTCAAGCAAGTTCATTACTATTTAAACATTATGATAACACAAAATTCTAAAGCAAAGAGACATGGTTCTGGTGACCATTTCACATTTACCTTTCAAGAGAAAAATGACTTAACAGTAATAAAATTCAATCAGAATCTTTATATAATAAATGAAGTGACAATTCAATACAGCATTTAAAGGCTTTGAATGATTGAATCATTTTTGAAAGACCTTCTTTTTAAGGAAAAAAAACCCGCATTTGTGAAAGAACACATTTTTCTAATCAATGTGGCCAAACAGCAAGGATGACAGGACAATGAAATCTAATTCTGTGCCTTCACTCAGGTGTCACATTATCACTGTGGATTAGAATAATGTATTCAGGACAACTCATCTCAGAAAGCTGCCATATAGTTCCATTCTTCTGCACTAGAAAAATCACTACCTAGCCAGACATGGCAGCACAGGTCTGTGTCCTAACAACTGGGAGGCATAAACAGATGAATCAGGAATTTGAGGTCATTCCCAGCTACCTAGTTAAGTTGGAGGCCAGCCTCAGTTACATGGGACATAGTTCAAAATTACAAATGAAGAAGAAAAAGACAAAGAAAAACGTGTTCTGATTTTGTGTCAATGCCTTTGCTTGATCAACCTGAAAGCTAGCATGGTGTGCACTTTCAAAAGTTCAACTCAAGCAAAGGTAGTATAAATTTCTAATATTGATTGCTATAAAAAAAATTCAAAGTTGTTAGTTGGTTAGTTTCTCTCATATAAATGGCTATGTCTAGATAGCTTTTTAAATTTTATTTATTTAGTGACAGTTTTCTTGATTTTTTTTGTTTTTTTTTTTCAAAACAGGGTTTCTTTGTGTAGTTTCTCTGGATCTTGCTCTGTAGACAGGCTGGGCTTGAACTTACAGAGATCCACCTGGCTCTGCCTCCTGAGTGCTGGGATTAAAGGCATGTGCCACCATTTTGTCATTTGTTTTATGGCAAGAGAGAATATGAACTTTGTCTCAATTAAACATATCTATCAGAAAACTTCTTAGGGGTCAACAGCTTTTGGTTTAACCACAAAAATATTTAATCAGAGACATCTTCCCCTTTCCTGTGATTAATAGATTGCCTTCTTTTTCATTAACTGTGCTTCTGCTAAACACTGACTCCAATTTGTGGTCTTCAAATCTTAGGTGTAGAATTATATTTCTATAGTGGTGAACATAAACCTCCTCCTGCTAGGGAGTCTCAATCCTCATTTAGATGAAGCTGCCATCTTGGTGTTTGGGTCTTTGAACCAAATTTCCCAGTTCCTTCATGAAAATCCCGATATAGAAATAAAAGGATCCATAGTTCTAGAATCTACAGGTCACTTTGGCCCTGGCTTTTCATAAATCAAAGTCTGCAGTGAAAAGGAACCAACATTGCAAAGAAACAGAAAAGGTGGAGACCATCCTAGACGTTGATACATAAATGCTGCTTGAAATGTGCTGTGGTCTTCCTTGGCCTCCTCCTCCGCTGTTCTTTTTAACATTTATCATGCATAAAAATATGGAAAGTGAATACAAGTGTATCCAAGCATGTACCAGATCACACACATCAAAATTAGAAAAACTGAACTTTGTAAGAGATAAATGCACAGACACATACATGTTTTTCAGGAATATTGATTATCATTGGAGTCCTTTTTGCCAGGGAAACATCACACACAAATACATCACGCAGCAAAAGTAAGAGAGAGCTGTTGTTAATTATTCCAGAATTTATTCTTGCCTAATTTTACCTAAATCAAGAAATTTTCTTCTCATTCTTATAAAAATAAATATTCTTTCATCACAGTAAAGTGGGATGAAAAAATATATTTGAAAGAAAACGTTCTCTTACTGATGTTAAGCATGATTGACATTTTCTAGTCTTTTATTTGAGGTGTCAGGATAGGGTGAAATGGGTGGAATCTATAGCCCAGGCTGTCCTGGAATTCACAGTGTAGAACAGGTTGAGCTCAAACTCATGGCGATCCTCCTGTTTCAGACTTCCAAATGCTAACTACATCCATTATGCCATGTCATTTTACATTGGGACTCTAAATTGTCCTTTTTCATTATAAACAGAACATAATTAAAGTCACAACCTTTCAAATTATCTGTATATTAGCAATGTCTAAACCTAAGAGAAAATGGTTGTTAAAACAGATAATAGAAATTTACTCCCACAAACCTAAATAAAACTGAAAAATCCAGTTACATGCAAAATCTCATTACCAAGAAGTAACTTCAACTCTGGGGAGACAGAGGCAGGAGAATTCCTGAGACTTGCTAGTCCCCCAGTCTAACCAAATTACAAGCGCCAAGTTTGGTAAGAGAATCTGTCTCAAAAAGGAAGGTGAAGAGTGACTAATGAAGTCTGTACATACACACACACACACACACACACACACACACACACAACACAACACACACATACCAGTACACACCACACCATACACACAGCACAGTACATACACACAATACAGTACACACACATGCACAGCATACCACATGGATATACACACACTCACACATAACACAGTACATACACACAATACAGTATACACACACACATGCACACCATACCACACACATACACACACACACACACTCACACATAACACAGTACATACACACAATACAGTACACACACATATGCACAGCACACACACACACACACACACACACACACACACACAGCAGAGACAGAGAGAGAAACTTTA